CGGTTTTTGGGGTGATGCCATAGAAGAACTATTTTTGGTTTCCTAAGAAACCAGACAGATAGAATGTTCTTCAAAGAAGAGGCTTTGTTTGAGTGTGAAGGATCTTCTTAAAGTTCAAAGATCCTCCACATAATAAAGGTTCTATATTAATGATACAAGCCAGAACATTTTAATGTAACACTTTATTTTGATGGTCCACTGTAGATGCTTTGTAGATGCTCAGTGTCTTTAACTAACAGTCAACTAAATATGTCGCTGCTGTCGGAACAAAACCTCGTATCTCCAAACTGGTAACTTTACAGAAGAAGCAAAAAACATACATTATTTGTAATGTAATCAATGGAACCAGAATTTTTCCCAAGTCATTTTCGGCCGTTTCTTTTGGTCCATTCATCATGAAATTTACGCATAGTGTAAAGACCAACAGGCATTTTCAAATTATGCCAAAAATTGAAAAATGACAAAATGGAGATATGAGGTTTTGTTCCAACAGCAGTGATATGATAAATGCTCTATAAAAAGCTCTAACCCTAACCTCAACCCTTACTATATTGTTGTTGATAATAAACGTATCATCGGAAGGATTTTTTAATAATTGAAGTATCCATAGATCAACTGAAGTGTAACCAAAACATCTCGGTAAGTAAGATGGACCTGATCAGGAGATCAGTCAGTTTATGTGAGGGAGAGGAACGTGAGTAGCAGACGTACACATACTGATAACTGTGATTGGTGCTTTGGCAGATCTGATGTCAGCTGTGCCAAATTTTGTCCTGCCCAACTCAAACTGAACTGAAGAAACCAGCAGAAAAAAGTAATTTCAGAAATCTCTCAACAGAGAAGACCAACAGCACAAACCAGTCCACAGTACAAACATCACAAAAATATAGATAATCATTAGAAGAAAAACATGAATATGAGTAGACATGGGCTCTAAAGAACCATCTCAGGAACCTAAAGTGGTTCTCTAAGGCAGTGGTCACCAACTCTCCTCCTGGAGATCTACTTTCCTGCAGAGTTTAGTTCAAACCTGCTTCTAACATGCTGCCCCTCCCCCTTACCTGACTCTAAAGCATCTGATCCAGCCAATCAGGGACTGAAGAGGTTAATTAGCTGGAGCAGGTGTGGCAGATTGTGGTTGGAATTAGACCCTGCAGGAAAGTACACTCTGGTTCTTCAAGGGTTCTTTACTACTTAGAAGCTTCAGCATAGAAGTATAATTTATTTTTCCATATGGAACCAAAGACAGTGGTTCTATATAGAACCATAAACACTCAAAGAATTATTTGCATGCTTAAAGGGTTCTTTGCATGGTGGTTCATCAAATTAATGGAGAACGTACCGTGTACGGTTCTACACTGCAGAAAATGGTATCTTGTCAAGTAAAATTATCTTAAATATAGTCAATAAATTTTAATATTTCTCTTGTTAAGATTGTTGTAAGTTTAATTTAAGATTACTTAACTTATTTCTAGACATTTTTTACGTGTTTTAAGTAATTTTATTGAGTAAAATTATCGCACTGTATTGGCAGATAATTGTGCTTGTTGTAAGAAATGAGCTTGAAACCAGCCAAATTGTCTGCCAGTATAGTGAGATAATTTTACTCAATAAAATTACTTAAAACGTAAAAAAAAATGTCTAGAAATAACAGGTACAAAATTCTAGAAATAAGCTAAATAATCTTATAATCAGTGCACAACCATCTCAAAATTGGAAAAGTTAGATATATCGTCTAGATTTAAGATCATTTTACTTGACAAGACACCATTTTATGCAGTGTATATGCAACCTTTTTGAAGATGGTTCTATATAACATCAAAAACAGTCAACAACAGAATGACCCTTTTTTTGCTGTATAGAATCATATATAAAGCATTCTCCATCAATCTGAACAACCATTTCACCAAAGAACAATGTAAGCATGCAAATGGTTCTGTAGTGTTCATTGTTCTATATAGAACCATTGGGTTCACCAACTGTCCTTAAGTAGAAATTTCTTCTTAAACCCACTTACGCAGTTTTGACGAAGATTCTGACTCACCAATGTTCTCTAATCTGGGATTTGTTCTTAGGTAAGAACAGAATCTACACACACTCAAGAGCATAAAGGTGAGAACAGTTCTGTGCTTTAAGAACACGTCATGAATCTGACGTAGACTTTTTCTTAGGACCTTCTCAAGAACACACTTAGGAAGATACTGGAGAACGAGCCCCACTGTCTTTACTAAAGAACCCTCTTTTTTAAGTGTGTAGATCTCCAGGACCAGGGTTGGTGACCACTGCATTGCTTGAATGCCCTCATTTTAAAACGTGTAGTTTAAGGGAAGTTTTCTCCACCAAAACATTCCCAAGAATCCTGGCTTGACAGCTGCAACTCATAATCAGGTGCCATAACCTTGCAGTGAATCAGAAGCAGCTGTGCGTCCGTCCCCACGGGCCCCCGAGCGGGAAGGAACCACGCTGAGATAGCCACAGTCTCTGTGGGACCGCTGGAGATTTCAACAGAGGGAAAGTGAGAGAACAAGGGAGCGAGAGAAGGACGGGGGGGCTGAATGGGCAGCACAGAAACAGACATAACAAAAGAGCCGGAGAGAATACGTTAGAGAGAGGGAGGGAAACATGGACAGGGAGATAGGGAGAGAGTGTAGAGGAAAAAAAGGACATGAAATAAAAAGAGTGTAAAGCAATGGGAGAGCGGTCTCTCCTGTATCCGTGGCGCTCCCTCCCTCAGTACACAGCACGGCACATTTTTAATAAGGAAGTCCGCTGTCTGTTCTGTCGCTGTTCAATATGTATGACCATAACTCGCCGGCTTCCTCCACCAGCGCTTCCCTGGAACATCAAAACGGCCGGTCCGAGAAACGCAAGGGCACGCAGGATGGCACCTGGTGCCAGTCAGTCAGAACGGCACAAGGATAACCGCCCTGACACATATTTGGCTTCCAGCATGGCCCCCTCCTGTTCGTCTCCTTGGCAGGGCTAGAGATGTCTCCAGGCAACCAGTGCTCGGCAACAACCTGAGGCCTCCCCCCTCTCCAGCTACAGGTACACAGCTGTGAGCAGAGCGAGCCGAGCTGAATTGAAAACAACGCTCACGTACGCACGGCGAGAAAATCACCCTCTAATCAAGCCCTGCATGGCTTTTGTTATCCGATCGTTTAGATGCTCCATCCTGATCACTTCACGTCAAGAAACACGTTTCTATTTTTTGCCGTTTGATCCCTGCAATTACCCACGAATGTGCTTTTTAATTTCCATTCTGCTTCTTATCTGCTGATGATAAAAAAAAACCTCTGGGGAAAAAAGTGAAGCATTTTCATCTTTAGGGATGAAAAAAATCTTTTGAGAGCCAAATGTTTCCCCCGTTTTTAATTTATTTAGAACGGGCTTGTAAAGGAAAGGCGCAGCAGAACACTTGATAGAGGCTGAATTAGTTATTAGGTGCCTATTTGCACGGAGGAACTTGCGGATTGAACAGATGGGAAGCTAATGGAGTTGTGACGCAGCAGGCTGGGCAGATTTTCAGGATTAAGTTTTTTAGTCCTTATATGTGGAGATGTTTTTCACCTATCCACTCAATCATCGCTCTCTTTCTGACCAGAAGTAAGAACGCTGTGTGAAAGTACACACTTTGTTTATGCAATTTCCAGTCAGAACAGACATTCAGTACAAATGATTCATTTATCAGGAGACATTTCTGAAGAGGTTAGACGTTAGATAATCAAAAACTCAAAATCTTTGAGAGATCAGTCAAAGTCCACTCCTGCTTCAGATCTTCAAAGAAGACAGCAAAGGTGTTCTCAGAACAATGGACTGACCACCCCAGAGTCCAGACCTCAACATCACTCAATGTGTACTTCAGAAAATGATCAACCAGCTTCTAAGACTGAACTTTGGAGGTGTGTCTGCAGATTCTTTGAGGAACTGAAAGTGAAGCTCCTGAAAAGAATGGAAGATGGTTCTTTACGGGTTCTTTAGGAAAGACAGTGGCTCTATATAGAACCATGAACACCCAAAGAACCATTTGCATGCTTAAATGGTTCTTTGCATGGTGAAATGGTTCTTCAGATTGATGGAGAACATGGTTCTATACAGCACCAAAAAGCATTCTTCTACAGTTACATGTCAAGCTTGTACACAATAGAAGAGCCCTTTTTTATACTATATAGAATTTTCAAAAATGTTCTATATAGAACCATCTACAGCACATTACACCTTAATCTGAAGAACAATTTCACCATGCAAAGAACCATTTAAGCATGCAAATAGTTTTTTGGGTGTTCATGGTTCTAAACAGAATCTAGAATCTTTACTGAAGAACCCTAGAAAAACCATACCAACCATTTTAAGAGTGTATAATAAAGGTAAAAAGTGGACATAGAAAATACTGAAAAGAAGATACTTAGTTACTTAAAAAGATACTTAAATATACTTAGTTGTGGAAGCTTTTGCATAATGTTCAGTTAAATATGTGTCTTCTGCTTTGATTGCTGATGCTAAAAAAGAAGGATTTTTAAATAGTTTTAAAAAAGGATTTTTAAAAAAGTTGCTATATTTCTTATGAATACAAATGGGTATACAGCATATACCTTTGTATATGATGATGATGAGGATGATGAAGAAGGCCGGGGTATTTGGGATTAGTTTTGAGTATCTGGGATTAGTTTTGGCTGTTTGAGTTATTGTTTATGCCTTTCAGGGATGCACATGGCTGACTTTACAACCACTAGAGTGAAACTCTTTCATCTCTTTCATTGATTTAACAATGTTTTTGCAGATTCTCAATGTACCTGAGCTGAATGTGGGCTGCAGGCTTTATTCAGAGAGGAGCATAACAAGCTGCAGCCCATGAGTGATAATCAGAAGTATCTCTGACCATCAGAGAGAGAGAGAGAGAGAGAGAGAGAGAGACAGAGAGAGAGAGAGAGAGAGACCTCTACTGGCCACAGGCGGTACTACGCCCTCCCAAACAGTAGTTTAAAGAAAACAGCCCCGTACAGCAGTCATGTAAGTCACGGAGAGGAGAAGCTGCTTCAGAAGCTGCTGGTCTGCATCTCCAGCCTGGAGATTAAACAAACTGCCGTCTGATGATCCCGATGAGCACCACGACACGCAGCATCTCACCTGAAGGACCTGTATCTGAATCTGATTCCACATCGGACTGTTTTCCCTGAATACCTGCCCGGCTGGACTAACTTCATCTGAACTTGTCGTGCTTCCGTTCGCGCGTCCGCAGCGGGGGTCGCTGAGATCTGCGCTACGGATATCATGTGAGAGCAGAGAACATGGTTCTGCTGGTTCTGCTGCTGAGGAACACGGACGAAACGCTGATGAGTCCGGGCTGTAGTGCGCTGCTGTGATGCTGATATGCTCCGGCTAGTTTGGCTGCTGTACGTTCGCGCTGAGGCGAGAGGAGCAGGGCGGCTGAGGGTCTGCGGGGTCGGACTGCACGGCGACTGGGGCTGACTGACCGTCCTGAGAGGAGGAGCAGGAGGAGGAGGAGGGGAGTTTGGGGGTCGAGGAGATCAATACTAGGAGACAATGTTTGCGTCTGGATTCTCTCTCTCAGCGTCAGCACACCTTCTCAGAGCCTTCAGTGCGTGACTGATGGACTTCACGCTGGACTCCTGCGCATCTTCACAATCACTCGCGGGATATAAACATGGATTAGATCATTTAACCCTTTTTAAACTGCTGTTTTTGAACGTTTTGCTGGCACGTTTTCCAGGAGCTCATGTAAGTTCCCACATAGACGATCAGAACCTTATTATCCATCTCTGAGACTCTGAGTTCACCTAGATTAATTTATAGCAAGTGTTTTTTAGGCTTGCTTGCAGTAGATACATATTTAAGATTATATTAGAATAATGCACAATCTAGCTGCTTTAGGCTGCTGAACTGAAGAAACCAAAGACAAAATGTACAGATGTACTTAAAAATGTACATTTAGGAAAAGCAGCACATCAAAAAGACATAATATGTCTCCAAAAGACACTTTTGAAGTAGGGGCCGGATTTGTCTGGAGATCATCATCGGGAGATATTAGTTCTAGAGCTTTAAGAAAGAGGTGAATATATTTATTCATTATCATTAATATAATTAATATTATTAGATTTTTTTGGACAATGGCTCACAGAGATGGTGCCTGGAAGTACGTGGCATGCTCCATGTTTTTACTGACATTATTAGCAGTGGGAACTGCTTTCTCCGGGCTTTTCAATGCCTCAGATAAGGATATTTTTGGTGAGTTTGAGCAGTTCAGACTCACGGAGAGCCGAGCACCGGAGCTCCGGAAGCTCCAAGCCACTAATTTTCACCCTAACTTGTACTTCAACCAAGCGGATGTACAGCTCATGAGACAGAGGTCCTCTACAACCCACAGCCACATCTTCAAAGTTATCCGTGCGGCCGTGCTCACCATGCTGTCCAGCGTTCCTCTCTACATGCCGCCCGCGAAGCATGACGAGTTCACCAGCAAATGGAACGAGATCTACGGTAACAACCTCCCGCCTCTGGCTCTCTACTGTTTACTGTGTCCCGAGGACTCGGCCGCTTTACAGTTCCTGATTAAATTTATGGACCGCATGGCGGAATATCCGGACTGGAAAGTCACCAGCGCGCCGAACGACGAAGTGCCTATGGCTCATTCGCTCACTGGGTTTGCTACCGCTTTTGACTTTATCTACTCCTCCCTGGACCAGCAGCGGCGGGATGTTTACCTTAAGAGGATCCGGCGAGAAACTGAGGAGCTGTATGAGACGTCTAAGTACCGGGGATGGGGGAAGCAGTTCCTCCAAAACCACCAGACCACCAACATTTTAGCAATTCTGACTGGTGCGATTGTGGTGGGTGTGCATGACGACCCCGAGACCATGATATGGAAACAAGTATGTGTGAACTATATGGAGAAAACCATGTTTCTCCTGAACCACGTGGTGGATGGGTCTTTAGATGAAGGGGTGGCGTACGGGAGCTACACTGCGAAGTCAATCACGCAGTACGTGTTCCTGGCCCAGCGCCACTTCAACATCGACAACACCCAGAACAACTGGCTTCGCACTCATTTCTGGTTTTATTACGCCACTTTGCTGCCAGGTTTTCAGAGGACGGTGGGTATAGGGGACTCTAATTACAACTGGTTTTATGGGCCTGAAAGCCAGTTAGTTTTCTTAGATGCTTTTGTGATGAGAAATGGCACCGGTAACTGGCTAGCGCAGCAGATTAGGAAGCACAGACCTAAAGATGGCCCGATGGGTCAGTCCTCAGCACAGAGATGGACTACCCTCCACACAGAGTTCATCTGGTACGATGCCCGGCTGACCCCCCAGCCTCCACACGGCTATGGCAGAGCTAAAATGCACATTTTCTCAAACTGGGGTGTAGTGACTTATGGAGCCGGGTTGCCCATAGCCCAAGGTAACACATTCGTCTCATTTAAAGTCAGGTAAGCTGGGGGGACGGGCAGTGTTTGACATTGTCCATGCTAAGCCTTACTCGTGGGTGGACGGCTGGAACAGTTTCAACCCTGGCCACGAGCACCCAGACCAAAACTCGTTCACTTTTGCCCCTAATGGACAAGTGTTTGTGTCTGAGGCGCTGTATGGGCCAAAGTACAGCTACTTGAACAATGTGCTTGTGTTCAGTCCCTCCCCAACGAGTCAGTGCAATGCCCCCTGGGAGGGGCAGCTCGGGGAGTGCGCCAAGTGGCTGCGCTATACCGATGAGGGGGTGGGAGACTCTGCAGGAGAGGTGATAGCAGCTTCCTCACACAGAGACACGATGTTTGTTAGCGGTGAGGCTGCTGCGGCCTATTCCCCAGCCATGAGGCTGAAAAAGCGTGTACAGGGCCCTGGTGCTCCTCAACTCACAGACTCTCCTGGTGGTCGACCACGTGGAGAAGTGGGACGACTCGCCGGTGAACACCCTCAGCGCGTTTTTCCACAACTTGGACATCGATTTTAAGTATGTAGTTCACAGGTATATGGACAGGTACAATGGGGCTTTGATGGATGTTTGGGATGCTCATTACAAAATGTTCTGGTTTGATAGCCAGGGCTACAGCCCGAACACAAGAATACAGGAGGCGGAGCAGGCAGCGGAGTTTAAAAAAAGATGGACGCAGTTTGTCAATGTCACTTTCCCTGTGAGGGGCACGGTAGGCCGAATGGCCTATGTGATGCACGGGCCTTACGTTCAAGTCTCCAACTGCCGGTTCATTGATAGCAGCAAAAACGGCCTCAGGATCTCACTTGTGGTTAACAACACTGAAAAAATAGTCTCCATAGTGACCAATTACAAAGACATAGGGGCACGTTCGAGCTACCTGGGCTTTGGGGGTTATGCCAAAGTGGAAGACAGGTATCAGATTATCCGCTTTGGCTTGGGAACACAGCTCGTGCCCAAGCAAACATCAGTAGACAATCAGCTGTTTGACTTTGGATTCACAGTGAATGTGATAGCAGGGGTGATACTGTGTGTGGCGATCGGCTTTCTGACCCTGCAGCGCAAGTTTTATGTCTGCTTCACCAGACTGATGCGCTACGCCCTGTTCTCCGTGCTAATGCTGTGGATCATTGAGCTCCTGTTTGTCTCCAACAGCTGCGATCAGCTACTCTGTGGGGTTAAGTGGAAAAGTGCGGCTACTGACCCCGAACTCAGCAAACAGCTGAGACTGTACGACCAGCATCGCTTCCCTTTGCCCACTGTGGTCATCACAACCCTGCCGGGCTCCGGCTCGGACATCCTTAAGCACCTTTTTTACAACAACTCAGACTTTGTCTACCTGCGGGTCCCCACGGAGCACCTGGATATACCAGAGACGGAGTTCGAGTTCGACTCCTTGGTGGACGCTTGCGATTGGACGAGGTCGGATGCTCAAAATGGGCGGTTCAAGATAATCCAGGGCTGGCTGCATTCTCTGGTGCACAACACCCACCTGCACCTGCAGAACATCCCGCTGTACGAGACCAGCAGAGTCAAGCAGGTTCAGAGAGCTGGCCCTCTTCACGACAAGAGGAAGAGGATGAGGAGGAGGGAGCCGTTGGCTGAGATGAGAGGAAGGGTGAGAGCCAGCTCAGACAGGGACGCCGAGTACGTGCGGGAGATGAGGAGGCACACGGGCGAATATCCGAACGCTCGGCTGGTCCTGAACTTGCGCAGCGGAAGCTGGGCTCTCAAGCTTCCTTTCATCCAAGAGGTGGTCGGCCCCTCGTTCCGTGCCATCTACGTGGTCAGGGACCCTCGCGCGTGGATCTATCTGATGCTGTACAACAGCAAGCCTAGCCTTTACTCCCTGAAGAACATCCCGCAGCACTTAGCCCTCATGTTCAAGGAGGACATCACCCGGGAGAGGTGCCCGGCTTTTGCGTCCGAGTTCAGGATGCTGTGGAGGCTCCTGTCCCGGTCCGAGGCCAATCCCGTGCTCTTACTGGCCCACCTGTGGCTAGCTCACACTGCTGCGGTGTTCCGCGTCACTGCAACCTTGCCTGAGGAAGCCTACCTGCATGTGAGGTTTGAGGACGTGGTGAACTACCCTGAGGACACGGCTGAGAGGATACACTCCTTTCTGGGGGTCCCGGTGACGCCCTCGGCCCTGAACCAGCTCATGTTCACCACCTCAACGAACTTGTACAATCTGATGTATGAGGGGGACATATCACCAGCCAGCATCAACATGTGGAGAAAGAACATGCCTAGGAAGGACATCAGACTCATTGAGGACACCTGTGGGTTCATGATGAAGAGACTTGGGTACTCCAGGTTTGGCAGTTGAAAGGGAATTTCAGAAACTCTGCATAATTAAATGGTTTACATGTAAACAGAGTCATTCAGAGTGGTTTGGTGTGAAACACTCTGTTTTAGAAAAACCAAAAAAGAATTGATTTGTGTGGTGGTGATAGGAACCAGACGTCTGTAATGCCTCTAAAAGCTACATCACAGAAGGTTAACGCATGAAATGGTTGCAGATTCTGACTTTCTGAACACCTTCAGTAAAACACAGAAAACGTGGAGAGACTCTTTCAGTTATTCTGCTTCTAAACTGTGGAGCTCAGTTCAGCTTTTATTAGACAGTCGAGCTCAGAGCTCATTTTTAATAAACATCTGAAAACGCAGCTCTTTAACTCAGTAAAATCTCTTTGGTATTCTTTTAATATGATCTGTCTGCTTTACATGATTTGAAATTAATACTCATAGTTTCTTCTATTACTGTTAAGCTTTATCATCTGTCTGTAAAGCACTTTGAGCTGACACTGGTATGAAAGGTGCCCTATAAATGCCCTATAAAGTTTTTATTTTTATGATATTATTATTGTTATTATTATTACTATTAAATTTTTTAAATGCATACATGCCAGAGAGGTACATCCAAGGCAAAATAGCCCCTAAAGAAAAAATACTTTTTCAGATTTAACACTATTTTATTATTAACAACATATAAAAGCCTAGACATGTAGGTTCACTGGTGGTTCTGGATAGTAAATAAAATGTCTATATGTGTGTTGTAGTCATGGCGACCCCTGGTTCCTATCACCACCACTGTAAAGACATCTGAACCATTTCACACCAGACCACTCTGAATCACTCTGTTTACATCTCTCACACTCAGTTATGCAGAAATTTTGAAAAATCAGAATTCCCCTTTAAATTATTAGCTGCAGGCCAGCTGCTGTTTGAGGTGTCCTGTAGTGCGTGGCTGTTTATTATTATTATTATTATTATTATTATTATAATTATTATATATTTTTTGCGTGTGTGTCATACTTTGTATTTTTGCACTGACTTAAACAGCAAAAGAGATTTTAGAAGAAGTTAAAGCCCGGAGAGGAAGGAAATGGTACAAGTATTAAACAGTTTCATTTTTATTTTGTAATCTGTGATGCGCTGCGACAAACGTGGTACCTTGTGCTGGCTAGTTGGTGACATTTTATATTAAAATGCATCAAGGACATGCTCAGAAATTCCTTTTCCCTTTTCTTTCTGCCTTTTTTTCTGAGAAAGCCACTTTAAGCACTCGTTTTTTGGAGTGATTTCTTTACTATTCAATGTCCGACGAGCAGTTTTGTGCTTAGTAACCTCCAAAAAAGTGCGCTCTGCATTGTTAAAGGTGATTATTTTTATTTTTTTACGCTGTAAAACCAAGAGTGCTGAGTTGTTTAATCGAGGGTCTGTATGGATGTCTGTTGTGACAAACTTAATGTCTCAGTGTCTTTCGAATGCAAAAAGCATCTTTACAATGTAGTCTTCGTTCTGCATTTTGATTACTCACGCCTGTTTTTCTGTTACTGCTTCTGCCCACTGTTGTATAGATTATCCTTCAGAAACTGTTTTCACTGTTTTAAGCCTCCAAAGGCTTGTTGGAGTAGTAATTGACTTTAAAGCTTAAGCTCGGTGTGCATTGTGTGAAATCAAGAGTGTTAGCACTAATCCCCAGAGTGGAACACGTTCCAGCTTAAAGCCTGTATCCAGCAATCATGTGAGAGCCCCAAAAGGTTGAAGAAATGAAAATTTCATTGCGGTTTGGAAAGTCTGCTGCAATCCATACCTGCTGTATATTGTATTCGCACTCAAAAAAGGGCTATTGCACTCGTGGAATTAAAAGTGGGGGGGGGGGGACAGGATGATCGACACCTCTAAAAGTAGCTGCCACATATTTTGACAGGCATCACATGGAGATCAAACTACAGTTTGTCTCAGCGGGTTCAGACTCATTCTCAGTCTATTAGCGATTCCAAAGCAAGCCCAGAGCTAGCCACACGAGTTCTGTGAAATGCCAAAACCGGGCCCGTCATGCGGCTCCGCGGCGGCGATATCTACTGCACGGCCCCAGAAGAAATGCAGATGAGACAGTAGAGCCCTCATTTCCTGTCTAGCCTAATCAGACATTCGGTGATCTTTCGAACCACTGTCCCACACTGGCACTGCAGGGGAGACAGACGATGGCACTGGCTGCACATACTGTCTACACTCTCAACAAAGATGGTTCTTCAAGGGTTCTTTACTAAAGAAAATGGTTTTATATAGAACCATGAACACTCAAAGAACCATGTGCATGTTTAAAGGCTTGTTTCCATTGTGAAAGGCTCTCAGATTGTGTGAGAATGTATATGGTTCTATAAAGAAAAAAGGGTTCTGCTACTGTTACAAACTTGACATTGTAACAATAGCAGAACCCTTTTTGGTGCTATATAGAACCATCTACCACACATTCTCCATCAGTTTGAAAAAAGAACCATTTGACAGTGCAAAGAATCATTATCATACAAAGTGCTCTTTGAGTGTTCATGGTTCTATATAGAACCATTTCCTTCACTACAGAACCCTTGAAGAACCACAATTTTTAAGAGTGTATAGATGGGGGAACATCTAGTCTTTGTAAACACTGCAGGTATTCTGACCTGTATAATGTGACACAGTACTGGGCCTGTATAATGTAATGCAGTGGGTCCAGTACTGGGCCTGTACAATGTAATGCAGTGGGTCCAGGACTGGGCCTGTACAAGGTAATGCAGTGGGTCCAGTACTGGGTGTGTATAATGTAATGCAGTGGGTCCAGTACTGGACCTGTACAAGGTAATGCAGTGGGTTCAGTACTGGGCCTGTATAATGTAATGCAGTGGGTCCAGTACAGCGCCTGTATAATATAACGCAGTGGGTCCAGTACTGGGCCTGTATAATGTAATGCAGTGGGTCCAGTACTGGGCCTTTACAGTTTAATATGGTGGGCCCAGTCCTGGGCCTGTATAATATAACGCAGTGGGTCCAGTCCTGGGCCTGTATAATATAATGCAGTGGGTCCAGTCCTGGGCCTGTATAATGTAATGCAGAGGGTCCAGTCCTGGGCCTTTGTAATGTAATGCAGTGGATCCAGTACTGGGCCCGTACAATGTAACGCAGAGGGTCCAGTACTGGGCCTGTACAGTGTAATGCAGTGGGTCCAGTACTGGGCCTGTACAATGTAATGCAGTGGGTCCAGTACTGGGCCTGTGCAATGTAATGCAGTGGGTCCAGTACTGGGCCTGTATAATGTAATGCAGTGGGTCCTGTAATGGACCTGTGCAATGTAATGCAGTGGGTCCAGTAATGGACCTGTACAATGTAATGCAGTGGGTCCAGTACTGGTCCTGTACAGTGTAATGCAGTGGGTCCAGTACTGTGCCTGGAAAATATTATGTCTTACTTATGACATTCTGATGAAACATTATTAACAGTGAAATGCAGAAATAGTGATTTAGCAGTTCAGTCTAAATGAGATGTTCTCAGTCTGTCCACCAGACTGTCCACATGTTTGTTTAATCAGCCAGATGATGAAGAGTTCTGTAAATGAACTGTTCAGATGTGTTAGGAGGGAATAGAGTTCAGACAGGGTTCTGTGGAACCCCTTCAGGCTGCTGATGGCTTGTGGCTTGGCTCTAATAAAAAACCTTTAATTGGCATAGAACCTCTGCATTGTGTGCAGGTTCTTTACACTTCAGAGAGGTTCTTCATACTCGAACATCTCATTAATGGAAAAAGAACCAGCCATTTGAAGAGTCAATACTAGACAAAAAGTGGTTATTTAAGGGTTCTTTAGTAAAGGCACTCTGGTTCTATATAGTACTAAAAAAGGGCTTTGACATGTAACAATAGTGGAACCCTGTTGAGTGCAATGCAAAGTTTTCTTTGAATGTTTAAGGTTCTATACAGAACCATAGCCTGCACTGTAAATATGTATGTGTGTGAAGTGAGGACAACTCAAAGAACCCTAGAAACAAAGAATGCACAAATTGTTCTTTGCATGGTTAAATAGTTCTTCTATGATGAAATCCTGTTGTATATGGGTCTTAAAAGAACCATATTTCAAAAAAGGGTACCACTGTCATTACCAGTCACAGAACCTGTTTTGGTTTTTTTGTATAAAACCCTTTAAGTGTACACTCTTACAAAGGTGTAAGAACCACTTTTGGTTCCCAAGACCATATCTGAAAGAGGAAATTGAAAGGTTCTATAATGAGCAAAACGTGGTTCTTGAGGGTCATAAGTGGTTCTTTGCATGTATAAATGGTTCTTCACTATGGAAACCTGTTGTAAATGTTTCTTTAAAGAACCAAAATGGGTTCTGCTATGGTTACAAAGTCATAGAACCTTTTTGTGGGCACTGTTTAAAAAGTTTTTTGCAAATAGTGAACAGCATCGCTTTAAAGAACCCTTATCTTCAAGTGTGCACTCTTAAAAAAGGTGTCATGTGGAAGAAAGACCATAGTTGAAAGAGGAATTTGAAAGGTTCTATACAAAAACAAGAACAAAAAAGTGGTTCTTCAAGGGTTCTTTAATAAAAAGGCAATGGATATACTTTTAGCCAAGATAGTTCTATATAGTTTCCAAAAAAGGATCCGAACCCTTTTTTGTGCTATACAGAACCATTTTTAAACCATATTATGATTGTTTATGGTTCTATTTAGAACCACTGCCTTTAATAAAGAACCAATACTTGAATAGCTGTATTTAAGGATGTAAAGAGCTGTGATGACTCAGAGAACTACTGGAATGCATAAGTGGTTCTTTTCATGTTTAAGCAGTTCTTCACTATGAAAGCCTTTTGTATGTGTTTCTTTAAAGAACCAAATGTGGTTCTGCTATGGTTACAAGTTGTAGAACCTTTTTGTGGGCACTATATAAAACGCTTTTTTGCTAATAGATTGCAGCATCCTTGTCTTTTAAGTGTGCACTCTTTAAAAAGGTGTCACAAAGGGTTTTTTTGGAGCGACTGCTGTCAAAAGTCCAGCGGTTCTTCTGTTCAGTCCTGCACAGAACCCATTTTGGCTCCTTTATTTTGGAGAGTAGAGCCTGAGAA